TCAAATCCATTTTGAAGCTAAAGATCTGAAAAACATCATAGTTTATATTCTAATAAGAAAACAGAAAGGAGCCTGCTCTGTGCATTTTGGGTACTCCATCTTTCCACTTAATCTTCCACAGTTACAAAGCTGCAGAAAGGCAAGAGGGCTGTGTGGTGAAGGAAAAAATGCAACTTTGATCTAAAAGTGTTTAGTGATATAGATTAATCTGACATCAATTTTAAGAGAAACCAAGACAAGAGACATTTACATTTCGATTGCTTTTCAATGGGATCCACTACAAATCATTCCTACTTTTAAGACACAGTAATTCAATTGGAAGGTAGCATTGTTGAGTAAGAAGTTTGCTCACAAAAAGGTGAAACTTGATATAGCATTTTTTTTCTTCTCCAAATGAAAGGTTGTCATCAATTCAAACATTCATTATCACAACTTCATTGTTTAAGAGGCAAAATACAGATATAAAATCAGCTGAAGCCATAATCATGTCACTTCTAAGGAAACTTAAATGACACTCTTAATAAACAAGCCAGATACACCAACTTGTCAAGAATTTTGGAAATAAATTCATGTAAAAGTTCACGGTTATTTCGAAGTAGAAATGCAAAATGATATTGAAAGCATTTCATAATTCAGAAGTAGAAAAACCAGCAAAATACAGGTGGCTGGCTGTGTGCCCTCTACTGAGGATAAGCATACACATGTGCTCCCTTTAGGCTTAAGACCATATAGAACCAAAGAGAAGCACATGGGATAATAATGCCTTCCACAGAGGTAAAGCTTCCATGATTATGTGAGAAAATACCTTGCTGAAATAAAGTTGTACTAAACTAGCATAATTTCCAATTGATATTCAACTTCTCAAATTCACCAACTATTGAGGAAAACAATCGGAAGTTAAAAGTACCTAGCAAACTTCTCCAGGTCCTGAAATGTGGCATAAACAACTTCAGAAAAATGTAGGTGTGTGAAATCAGGTCCCTCTAGTCCTGAAATTCTTGAGAACAACTAAGGCAGTCTAAATTAAGTACTCTTTTTTTGCTGTATTCATGGTAGAAATAAAAATCTGGTAACATAAGCAAGTGTATTTTAATGATCTACTCAGAAATTACTGAAATGAGTGTACCAAGTGGGAACATTGTTCTGACAACACTAATTGATCAGAAGGATATCTACTGTCTTAAACCGCCGTGTGTAAGTGGTATTCCAAGACAACCTACCAAACCAGACAATTAGTTACTCATAATGTCTATAAAGTACCATGAAATTGTCTATTATTTTATAAAACAGTTTAAGAGACTTTTGATCCCCTCTAAACTTATTTCATGAGAATTTTGGTTGATCCCAAGTTTTCCTCATAATTATCATTTAACATAGAAAGAAGTCTGATGTATCCTAACTTTTCCTTCTAGTTATATGTAACAATTAAGCCATTATGAGCCCAGAGTTTTCAAAGCTCTAACTCTTGGTAAGCCTAATGTGGTTTGTAATGACATGTTTCTTTGCTTTCCTGAGAAAACTGTTTCAGCAAAGGATGGGTGATGGAAGTTCTCTACTTTCAATGCCCTCATAACTGAGTTAAACCTGACAGATCATCAGCTTATTGATTTGGGAATGATCAGGAGTAGTACCTCCACCAAGGAAGTATTTCTAACAGCTTTGAAACTGATTTCCAGCTTCCCTGTTAAATGAGTGCAAATTTACCAGTTTGACTTTCTTATAAGTGTCTACCTTAGAACATTCTCTTCTGTCCACCAACTTTTCAGCTTGTCCTAATTTTACTTACTGATGAGATACATATGTATGCATGTATGTATGTATACATATATGTATGCTAAGGATAATAGCTACATAGAAGCCTGATAAATATACTTTAGGTAGGTATAAGTTCACAAAATCACTGTGACAGTATTTGCATATTTATAAAACAAAGCAATATCATTGACTTTTTAAGTTTCAGTGAGATTAAATATGCTAATGTATGCAAAAACTTCAATAGTACCTGGCAAGTCAGTACTCCATAAATGTTAGCATAAAATATTATCTTTTCATCATTTTGCAATTTAAATTTGGTTTAGTTAGATCATGGACTCAATGGTCCATTTCAGTAAAAATCAAGTATGTTTTCAGAAACAGTCATTTTCTCATTAACATTTATTTCAGATTGTAATCATTGGCTTGCTATATGACTTCTTCCATATTTCTTTCCTGCGTTATTTATTTAATATAATCCCAACAGTTTTATTTTAAAGTAAAATGGATTACTTTGCTAGCAAATGGCTTTGATATGATAAGCTTCCTACCAAACCTTAAGACTTTTAAAATAATTATTAAATTGTCACAATTAAACCACACCTACCACTCTGTTAACAATAAGAGCAAAGCAGAATCCGAAAGCCTGCCTTAGAGGTACAAGCTCAACAGGTGAGTGACAGGGAATACTTAAGGGCTGGCAGGCCATGCTCCCTGCCAAAACCTACTAACCCTGGAACAAAAGAGGATGTGGAGTAATAGAGATGACCAGGTCCCATGCCTCAACTTTGGTTTTTACTAGGCATGACCATTTATAACACTTGCAGTGTTTAACTTTTCAGGCAATTGACTTTTACCCGCCCCCCCCCCCCCAGCTAGAAGCACAGTTGGGTTTTCAGTAAATAAAATATGAAAGTTTCTATTATTCAAGAATCTTCTACCCTTACATGTAAAACATGTATGTTGTATGGATGGGAGTGTAGTACAGTAAGTACTTAGAAAAATCATTGCAAGTGCAAGGCATCACAAGAAGCCTTTCTATTTATTTAAATTATTAAATACCAAAAAAAAAATATTTTCTCTCTTCTAAGTAGTGGAAAGCCACTGTGAAGCCGAGGTCTCTAGAATTCCTCTTATTGGCTACTTTTGCTCTCAGTACCCTTATGCAGAAGATCTTGCATCTTTACCTCAATTTAGTATCACTGAGACTATACTTTTGAGGTAATGCCAGCTTTCAAATTCTCTAAACCATATGATGGCTCCAAGAAATAGGAATTTATTTCTCACTTATGCAAGAGAAGGCTGTTTTCTACAGGAAACCTTGAAAATTTTCCTAAATATAAATCTACTCCTCCCCCCAAATTTAAAGTTAAATAATTAATAAAAGTAAATGTTCTGAGCCTCGATTAGTTTCCTGCACATGATGATCCAGAGTTCCAAATCTTCCTTCCATATAGAAATCAGTTAGAGAGAGTTTGGGACAGACTCTAGTCGCTTAATAGCTTTGGCCATTGGTGTATCTTTGTTTCTGCTCACACTCCATTAGCCTAAACTACTCAAATGCCAGTCCCTGTCTGTAAGGTAGGCTAAGTAGAGGGCAAAGAGTGCAGCATCTTCTTTCCTTACCCCTCGTACTTTGTACTTATTTTCAACATTTCTCCACCTCCCCAAAGAAGACATCTCCATATCAGCCCTATTCTCCTAGACAGTTCTCACCAGAACCGATGAGCTTGGCTTTATGATAGGGGTGAGGCACTCCAGCAGTGACTGACTGGACCCGTGACAGGCTGAGAACTAAGACGCCCCAGCAGTCCCAGGCCAGTGCTGTTGACCTGGAACATTTCTGGATAGCTGCTGGTCTTCAGCTCACATTGGAAGGCTAAAGAAGCCAGCACAGCACCAGCAATGACAAGATACACTTACCAGCAAAAAGCTAAGCCTATAGGCAACATCAATGCTTTCCCCTGGATCTCTTGACATCCAGGCTACAAGCCAAAGGTCCTGCCCATTGTCTAGTGGTGCCCCCCCCCCATCCACAGTTAATCCTTCCCAGAAATTCCTTTAACAACTAGGCCAGATGTGTATCTCTTACTTAATTTCAGATCCAATCACATTGACAACAAAGATAAGTCATCTCAACATCCAACTACATTAAGCTCTATTTCTAGAATCTTTGACGATCTTTTTTTTTTTTTTTCATGAAGTCACAGTCTCTATGGAGGGTTAAATGCTTTAGAATTTCAAGTTGTCTGCTTCGCTTTACCTGCCACATTTAACAGATAATGGCAGTGTCATTACTAGGTAACAGGGAAAATGGTAAACAGCCCCGTGAGGATGACAGAACAATGACTATGCCCTGCTGGCCAGTCACAGGAGAGCCTTACTGTGGAGGAGACTGTTGCTGGCTCCTCTGCCTGGGAGAATTTCCATTCTTCTCTACAGTCTGTGCCTGCTGTGTGGATACTTGCTTCCATGTGTGTTATCTCCACCCTTCAATGCAGACTCCAACTGGACAGTGGAGAGAAGAAGCTCAAATTTTACTCTCTTTATAACTTAGTTTTTGTGGGATAAATATGGGGTTCCAGAATTGTATAGCGCTTGGGATTTTAGGCCCAGCTTCTGGTTTCTATGGTAATACAATTACCTCAAACTCTTCGCAGACACTGATCTAATTTTTTTCAGTCTGTTAAACATACCAGTAACGAGAGCCAAAGACATGAAAACTTTTTCATTTCTTCTTATAGTGCTAAGAACTCCTTTATTTCTTTCATCCACTTTCTTTTTTATCTCTCTCCTTTCTTCCTTTCTACTCTCTCTTTCATGCTAAAAATGAAATAATCTTACTAATGAAATACCTAATATATCAAGCATATTAAATCATAAGTCCCCCCTCTCTTCTTTAATGATTGAATTTGTTCAGATGCTTCTTCTGGGGAAAGAGCGATAATTATCATTCTTTCTTTGCTCAAAGAAATTGTGCCATGTGACTTTTGTGTATTTAATAGTACTTGAACAATAAGGAAGATGTGAGAATAACGCAACACACATTCAGAGAATTATGAGCTGCCATCATAAACAATACATCATATTTCAGCATGAAATATTTTCCCAGTTACTGCATTTTAAGATGCTGAAATACAAAGATGTTAAATATTTATTTTATTATGCTTAGAATCTGGTAACAAAAGAAAAATGTTTCTCTAAATAAAGCATGAGTTCAGCTTGTCTTTTCTCCATGATGTTCCAGAATGGCTTGGAAGAAGGTAGAAGTTACCTGGAGAATCAATCCTCAGGAAGTTTTGTATTCATGGGATTGGTGCTTGAAGCTGGTTACTAGACCCTCACTACTCTACCAACCATAAAATGGCAAAGCCTCTCCTTGTAGACACACTGTATGGAATGATTGGGGCTTTCTCTAATGTTAGGACTATTGTCCAAGCTAAGAGTTCCAATAGGGATATGAATATTATTTTTATGTTCTAACCTCTACTGTCATGTAGTGGCACTTACATTATATAACTTGGTTAATGCAGATGTAAAGTTCTGGTGATGTCCAAGTTTGGAATACTGATTTCAGTACTTGAAAAGGGGGAAATTCAAGGCTTAGAAAAATACATAAATATTTTTGAAGCCAGCCATCTTGGAATACAAATTTTATTCAAATTAATTTACAGCTAATACATTACTCATTTTATATCTATGCTATTATCCTTTTTAAATTAAATTTTAATATGTTTATTTTCATTTGCATATCTACTAAATTGTGCTCATTAAAATGATTTCCAACTTTGTAAAGCAAAACAATGTAATAGTATCTAATGTCAATTGTGTTTGCAGATTTCCCGGCACAGAAGGAATCATTCACAGCATGTGTTGAAAGATGTCATTCCACCACTAGAACATCCAGTAAGTTACTAATTTTACTATAGTATTGTACTCTTTGATCTACTCCTGCAAAAAGTTGCCTTAACTCAGTGACTTGAAACTGCACAAATAAGTATCATTTGTAGAGGGAATCTCTTATGTACTGTGAGGAAGCACCACCTGTCAATAAAAAGCTGATGGCCTAGTACCTAAGGTAGGAAATAGGAGATGGGAGTTCCAGGAAAAAGAGGTGAACTCTGGGACAGAGTCAGAGGCAGGAGATTCACCCTGGACTTTGAATAAGATGGACACATGAAACTGAGGAAAGGTAACCAACCAAAGAATACATGGCATACATAGAATAGAATAAAAAGGTAAAATAAGTTACAAACTAGTTGGGGAACAAGCCAAAGCTTATGGCTTTATTCATGTCCAATAAAGTATCAGAGTCATTATTTTGGGGACTGGAGCATAGGACGAAAACCTGAGGTTACAAAGGTTACAAACAGACATTATGTGAGTCCAGAATTTAAGTGTTTTATTAGTGCCTAGCTCAGTCAAAGGTCACAATTAACCTATCACTCAGAACAGGATTATATCTTGAAGTCTGACTGAGGGTGTGTCAAGATGACAACACAATTATTGATGTGATTCACTTGGCAGAAATCTTGGATATGAGTATTTTGTATCAAATACCATAAAACTTGTGTTTAGGACAAGAAATTCAATTATATGTATCACGGTCCCACCCAGTTAAGTCTTTGTTAACACAAACAAGCACTTCTGTATTCTAGGAAATTAATGGACTAGAACAGGACCCCTTTCTCCTCCTTCTTTCACTTCCTATGTGCCAAATTTTAAAGACTGTAGAGCCTTTTATTTTTATAAAATTCTATTTATAAAGGAACCACACTCTTAAGTTAATCACTTCCCATCTCCTCCTGCAGTCATGATGGAGGATAAAATGTCAACCCTCAATGACCTCTATTCTCCCAAAACTAGAACTTAGAAGGCAACCAGGAGTTTTCAAGTTTTAAAGTTCCACCTACCCCGTTAACATAACCTCCTTCTTCTGGTTTATTCTGCTACCATCAAACTGCTTCTTCTGCTGAAGTGTTATTCTACTTGTTCATTCATCTATTTGTGATCATTATATTTAACTAATATTTCTTCATTTACTTGCTATTATTATTCTTTTTTAACTTTTTTATTTTTATTAATTACACTTTATTCATTTTGCATCCTCCCATAAGCCCCTCCCGATCCGACCCTCCCTCCCGTTTCTGCATGCATGCCCCTCCCCAAGTTCACTGATAGGGGAGGTTCTCCTCTCCTTTCTGATCTTAGTCTATCAGTTCTCGTCAAAAGTGGCCACAGAAGAGGACAATGCAGCTATTACTATTCTTATCTCACTTTTAAAATTAAGTCTTGGGTTAGTGGGATGGCTCATTTTGTAAGGGCATTTGCCAACACATTCAACCTGTGTTCTATATCTGGGATGCACATATTACAAAGAGAACTGACTTCAGCAATCTGTCTTCTGGATTCCACCTATGCAACATGACATATGTATGCCTAAATAAACAAATACATACATACGCACATATATACATACATACACACACACAGGGAGGCACACACAAAATAAATGTACAATTTAAAATGGGCCTTGTTTGATCTTTTTTTAAACTACTTTATTTTTTTACCCTTATTCAATATTCCCTTTAGACTTCACTACCTTTCATTTATTTGTCAATTCATTGGAATGTCAGTCTTCTAGGACAGAGGAATTAGTTCCTGTGTTCACAATTCTATTTCTATAATCCTCATGATTGCAAGAGCATGGGAGAATTATTTAAGTATTATCTAAGTATATATCTTATCACTGTGCCATATACTCAAATGAAAAGACAATGGCTTTTGTTGTAAGAAGATCTGTTTCACCATTTTCTTAAATCTTCAATTACTAATTAGTTATTTGTTCTGATGGTTCTTTCTCAGTAAAAGTAAGACATAAAATATTCTAACTTCACCCACCATCAGTATCTCCCCAAACTGTATCCCTCCTCATTAGGCCAACTCAACAACTATATCCCTCCTCATTAGGCCAGTAGCAACAAACATCTCTCAGTTTCACATGCCTTTTCCTTTGGCGTTTATTTTCCCTACCACAATTCCCATCCAGCTATCTCTCTCTTGATGTGCATGTGTACACATATGTTACTGTACACACATGTGAGATCGTATGAGCACATATATAGGTATGTAATATGACCACCTGAGACATCTTTTCAGCCCTAACCTATTTAGCCATCTTATGGATTAGCCTTTCCTCGGTAGTCATGTGACCACATACTTACTTTGTGACCACACTTACCACCATTTTGACTTTCAAATGCTTTGGATCCCACCTCTAATGCCCCTTTATATCTTTCACACGGATTAATCAAGGGGAAACTTAGGCAGTAACCCCAGAACAACCTTCTTTAAGGCCGTATCTTAAATAAAATATTTTATTTAAATAAAATAATATTTTATTTTTCTTATCCAAACAAATTGGCTTCCTTTTACCTATTGTATCAAGTTTGTATAATGCTCTGATGGTCCCTGATTTATGCTATGTATTACCTACTCCCAAACACACACCCTCAAGCCAGTAATAGAAGTATGACTGAGACATAGCTTTTAGCCTAAAGGAGCTTGAATTCTCTGTAGTCATTATGTTGTTTTCATCCTATCACATGGTCAAATACTGTTATGCTGTCCACTCTTATTTCATGGGTAATAGACTTGTTCCACAGCTGGACTGTAAATGCCTTGAAGTGAGAGGCCATGACTTGTGCTCTTTTTGTTATGTCATGGTTCCACTTACATTATTTTTGACATTATTGTTTGTTCTGGAAAGACATCTCTTTTTTTTTTATCATTTTGTTCACTTTACATTCTTGTTATAGCCCCATCTTTCCCTTTCCCCTACCCTTTTCCTCAGAAAAGAAGAGCTCCCTTTCCCATCCAGGTCAGCTCATCAAGTTGCATCAGGACAGAGTGTCCTCTTCTCCTGTGACCTGTCAAGACAGTATCACCAAGAAAAGTAATCAAAAAGCTAGAAAGTGAGTCCCTATCCAATACAGTCCTCACTTCCTTTACTGGAAGAGCCACATGAGGTCATGCCCATCTGCTATATTTTTGTAGGGGGCCTAGGTCCAGTTCATGCATGGTCCTTGGTTGAGTCTCCAGTCTCAGCAAGCCCCTTTGGGCCTGGTTAGTTGGCTCTGCTGGTCTTCTTGTGGAGCTCCTGTGACCTCCAGGTCCTTTTTTCTTTTCTTTCACTTTTCCACAGGATGCCCTACACATCACCCAATGTTTGGCTGTGAGTCTATGCATCTCTTTTTAGGTGCTGCTGAATAGAGCCTCTCAGAGGAAGAGGACAGCTCTTTCAGGCTCCTGTCTGCAAGTTTAGCAGAGCTTCATTCACAGTGTCAGGGGTTAGCACTGGTAGGTCTTTGGTTGGGCTAGGCATTAATTGAACATTCCCACAATCTCATCTGCTCTATCTTTATTTCTGCACATCTTGTAGGCAGGGTAAATTTTGGTTCAAAGTTTTCATGGGGTTGATGTTACCCTCCCTCTGCTAGAAGACTAGTCTGGTTAGTAGGTGTCTTCTTCAGCCTCTATGGCTCTGCTACTAGGAGTCTCTGCTTGAGTGCCCTTTATAACCTCCCAGGAGCCTCCCCTGTCTTAGGTATCCGGCTTGTCAGAGGGACACTCCCACTCTCCGTTTCTCTTTTCTCTACAGTCCTTCTGTCCTCTCACCCTTGGTCTCCACCCTTCGTAATTCTCTGTGCTTCCTCTCCTACCTGTGTTCCCTCTCTTCATCCACAAAGTCTTTCTATTCTATCTCCCTTACAAGTGAGATTTATGTATCCTCCCTTGGGTCCTCCGAATTACTTATCTTCTTTGGGTCAGTGCCTCATAGTATGCCTGTCTTTATATGGCTAATACCCACTTACAAGTGAGTGCATACCATATGTGTCTTCCTGGGTCTTGAAAGAATTATTCTTTCAAGGTCTGTAAAGAACTGTGTTGACATTTTTATGGGGATTGCAATGAATCTGTAGATTGCTTTTGATAGGATGGATATTTTTACTATGTTAATCCTGACAATCCATGAGCATGGGACAGCTTTCCATCTTCTGATATCTTCTTCTGTTTCTTTCTTCAGAGACTTTCTGGGTTGCCTCAATCAGAATGACCTTGTCTAGTTCCATCCTTTTGTCTGAGAATTTCATGACTTCTTTGTTTTTAAGAGCTGGGTAGTATTCCCTTGTGTAAATGTGCCATGGTTTCATTATCCATTCTTCAGTTGAGGGACATCTAGGTTGTTTCCAGATTCTGGCTATTATGAATAAAGCTGCTATGAACAGAGTTGACCAAGTGTCCTTCATGTATGGTAGACTTCTTCCTTCCCAATTTGTTTCCTCTTGATTTCTGTTAGTTGTCTTATTGATCTAGCTACCACTTCTATTGATCTAGCTAGAGGTATGGAGAAAATGGGCAGCCTCTTCTTTTCCCTGATTTTAGTGGAATTGCTTTGAGTTTCTCTCCATTTAATTTGATGTTGGCAATTGGCTTGCTGTAAATAGCCTTTATATTATGTTTAGGTATGAGTCTTGTATCTCTGATCTTGCCAATGCTTTCATCATAAAGGGTGTTGAATTTTCTAATGGGCTTTTTCTACATCTAATGAGATGATCATGTGATTTTTTTCTTTGAGTTTATTTATATGGAAAATTATATTGATGGATTTTTGAATGTTGAACCATCCCTGCATCCCTGTGATGAAACATGCTTGATCATGGTAGATGATGTATTTGATGTCTTCTTGGATTCGGTTTCCAAGTATTTTATTGAGTATTTTTGAATTTATGTTCATGAGTGAAATTAATTTGAAATTCTCTTTTTTGTTCATTCTTTGAAGGGTTTAGATGTCAGGGTCACTGTGGCTTAATAGAATGAGTTTGGCAATGTTTGTTCAGTTTCTA